ATCAAATCTAGAGTTTGATGATCTAAAAGTCAGAAGGGTTGGCATTTAATAAAAAATTGACTAGACATGCAAAAAAGCAAGAAAATGTGAAATATTAGTCAGGAGAAAAATCAGCCAACACAAATATACCTAGAAATGAGAGTTAATAGAATCATCACACAGAAAAATATAATAGTCACTGTAAATATGTGCAATATGCTCAAGATTATAATGGAACACATAACATAATGAAGAGAGAAACAAGAAATAAAGGGCCAGCATTGTGGTGTAGCAGGTAAAGCCATCACCTGTGACATCAGCACCCCATGTGGGCACTGGTTCAACTCCCGGCTGCTCTACCATAACAGCCGGAGCTGGGCCAGGCCAAAGCCAGGAGCCAGGAGCTTCGTCTGGGACTCCCACTTGGATGCAGGGGTCCAGGCACTTGGGCCATCCTCTGCTGCTTCCCCAGGCTCATCAGTAGGGAGGCAGATCGGAAGTGGAACAGCTGGGACTCAAACCGGCCCTCACATGGGACGCTGGCTTCACAGACGGAGACTTTTCCCACTACAACGCTGACCCCATAAAAAACTAAATCTTAAAAGTCAAAGGAAATACACATGAAAGAATAGGCATTTGGCCTAGCCATCAAGTTCCCTGCCGAGATGCCCCTGTCACACATGGGAGTGCCTGAGTTCAGTGCCGGGTTCTGGGTCCTGACTCCAGCTTTCGACTAATACAGACTCTGGGAGGCAGTGGTGATGTCCAGAGTGGTTAAGTTATTGTCACCCATGTGGGAGACACAGATTACATTCCCAGCTCCTGGACTTGGCCCAGCTCTGGATGTGGCAAGCATCTTTGCAAGTGAACCAGTAAATGAGATATTCTCTCTCTCATTCTCTGTTTCTTTCTCTCTCTCTCATAAATAAATAAATAAATAAACGGCTGGTGCCACAGCTCACTAGGCTAATCCTCCACCTGCAGCGCTGGCACCCTGGGTTCTAGTCCCGGTCGGGTCGCCGGATTCTGTCCTGGTTGCTCCTCTTCCAGTCCAGCTCTCTGCTGTGGCCCGGGAAGGCAGTGGAGGATGGCCCAGGTGTTTGGGCCCTCCACCGACATGGGAGACAAGGAGGAGGTGCCTGGCTTCTGGGTTCAGGTTGGCGCAGTGTGCCAGCCGCAACACACCAGCTGTAGTGGCCACTTGGGGGGTGAACCAATGGAAAAAGGAAGACCTTTCTCTCTGACTCTCCCTCTCACTGTCTAATTCTGCCTGTCAAAAATAAATAAATAAATAAATAAATAAATAAATATTTTAAAAAGAATAAATATGCATGGAAAGCACAAATTCCTTTTCTAAAGAAAGATAAATTGATCTTCAAAATGAAGACTCCTGCATTTTGAAATACTCTATTAAGAAAATGAGGGGCCAGCACTGTGGCACAGTGGGTTAAGCCACGTCCTGCAGTGCTGTATTCCATATGGGTGCCAGCTCGAGTCCCAAATGCTCCACTTCCTTTTTTTTTTTTTTTTTTTTAAAGAGATTTAGTTATTTATTTGAATTACAGAGAGAGGGAGAGACAGAGAGAGAGGTCCTCCACCCACTGGTTCACTCCCCAGATGGCCACAATGGCCGGAACTGTGCCAATCTGAAGCCAGGAGCCTCTTCTGGGTCTCCCACATGAGTGCAGGGGCCCAAAGACTTGGACCATCTTCTACTGCTTTCCCAGGCCATAACAGAGAGCTGAATCAGAAGAGGAGCAGCCGGGACTGGAACCAGCACCCATATGGGATGCCGGCACTTCAGGCCAGGGCTTTAACCCACTGCACCACTGTGCCAGCCCCTGCTCCACTTCCAACCCAGCCCCTAGCCTGGGAAAGCAGAGGCTGGCCCAAGTTCTTGGGTCCCTGCATCCACGTGGGAGATTCAGAAGTAGCTCCTGGCTCCTGGCTTCAGGCTGGCCCAGACCTGGCCATTATGGCCATTTGGGGAGTGAACCAGTGGATGGACGCTCTCGCTCTCCCAAAGTAGGAGAAAATATCTAATACATATGAATGTATCTGACAATGGACATGTACCTAGAATATATAAACAACTTCTATAACTCAATGATAAAACAACTCAATTTTTTAAGATGGGAAAATACTTAGAAAGATGCTCTTAAAACAAGCAAATTGTCAGTAAACACCAGAAAAACAATTAACATCATGCAAATTAAAACCACAATGAGATAAAACTACAGAACAACTAAACAGCACAACTAGACAGCTTAAAATTAAAAGACTGACAATAGTAAGTGTTAATGAGTATGTGGAGCAACTGGAACTCGCAGGTGGTTTTGTTTTTGTTTTTGTTTTTGTTTTGTTTTTTGTTTTTTTTTGACAGGCAGAGTCAAGACAGTAAGTAAGAGAGAGAGACAGAGAGAAAGGTCTTCCTTTTTCCGTTGGCTCACCCCCCCAAGTGGCTGCTATGGCTGGCGTGTTGCAGCTGCTGATCCGAAGCCCAGAGCCAGGTGCTTCCTCCTGGTCTCCCATGCGGGTGCAGGGCCCAAGCACTTGGGCCATCCTCCACTGCACTCCCTGGCCACAGCAGAGAGATGGACTGGAAGAGGAGCAACCGGGACAGAATCCGGCGCTCCAACCAGGACTAGAACCCGGGGTGCCGGCGCCGCAGGCGGAGGACTAGCCTAGTGAGCCGCAGCGCTGGCCTCCCAGGTATTTTTGTTGGGAATGCTATAGTCATTTGGTAATCAGTTTAGCAGAGTCTTATAAAGTTAAATACATACTTTTCATTTGACCCACAAATTCCAATGGTGAGTATTTACTGGAGAGAAATTAAATGTGCATCCATGTGAAGAGTAAAGTTCATAACAGCTTTGCTAATGAGGACTCCAAGTTGGAAATAACTCAACTGTCCATCCATTTACAGATAAAAGCTCTGTGGTATGGCCATAAAACAGAATGCTATACATCGGTAAAAAGAAATGAGCGACTGAGACATTCAACAACATGACAGTCTCAAAAATAACATTTGAGCAAAAGAAGCCAGACTCATTGGGTGTACACAGTGTTCTGAGTCCCTTGATACCAAACTCTAGAAGAGATAAATGTCATCTACATTGACAAAAAGCAGATGAGTGGCTGCTCGAGGAGTTTGCCCTAGAAGAGGTCCGAGGGATCTTTCTGGATCAATGGAAGTGGTCTGCAGCTTCACTGTGGCAGTAGCTACGTATGTGAATAACTCATCAAATTTCATGGACATCTACATTAAATGAGCGGATTGTATTGTATGTAAATTATACTTGGATGATGTTGATTAGAAAACAAGTTGAGAAAATTCCATCTAAGAAACCATACTCCTTCACTGACACAGATGTGCATGATCACACAGAAAGAAACAAGCGTGTGAGGAAGAATGATTGACTACTTTCAAGACTTCTCAGTTCCTGAGAGAGTCTCTGATCAGTGCAGATTTGGCAGAACTGTCGACGTGGCTCACAAAAGCAGCAAGGTTGGATGAAACTCCAGAGATGTGTGCTCAGATTCAGATTCTGACGGTGCCAATCTAACTTGGAAATCACCTTCACTTTCACACGCCTCAGTTTCTATGTCTGTACAATGGGGCTAATAATTCCATCTGTCTCACAGGGTTCTTAGATAAATTAAGATAATCTGTCTAAAATATTTTTGGAAAAGTGCTTGGCATTGCTATCTACTTAACAAATGTTATTTTTCATGGTCATCTCTTTAATGTATATAGTCAACAAGGGGGCACTAGTGTCACATAGTAAAATGGCTATTCGGCAGTGTGTGCAGAGGAGTCCTGGTCTAGCCTGCCAAGTCCTGACTGTCTAATGTGAGCAGCTCGAAGTGTCCCAATCCACACATAGGAAAGCGTCAGCATTGGCTGACCCAATTTACCTCTGGAGTCAGACTCTGGAGGAAGTCCGTACACCAGCAACTGAGCGACCTGTCTCTGTTCCATGTGGCTTATATTCCAGAGGAGGAAAGCAAACCAGTAAAACAAATAAACACAATTTCAGATATTGAAAGCTGCAGCAAGGAAAACATAACGAGCATCCTAGAAAAGCAGCAGACACGGAGAGACGTCTCTGGGTTACCTAAGGGCAAGACGTCCCCTGAGGAAGTGACACGGAACCAGAACCCAGTGGGAGGCAGGAATCTGCCACAGGGAGAACTGATAGAATGGACTTCCAGGAAGGGCTAGTTCAAGGCACAGCTGCATGCTGGGATTTTTTCCAATTCCTCAATTGAACATTTCAACCTTACCACCCCAGTCCTGAGCAAATCAGGATGCTTGCTTGCCACAGTGGAGCCAGAAATCATGTACACCCATAAGGCCAATAATAAGATCCCAACTGATTAAGAGGGTGAAAACTTGGGACAAGTATTTCATACAAAAGAAAATAAAAAGAACAAACACATGAAAAATACTTGCACTCACTGGTAATCCAGGAGAGAAAGAGTCAAGGACTCTTAAAGCACACTTAACTTATATACATGCATATATATGTAATGTGAGTGACCATTCCAAAAGAAATGCACAATATTGTTCACAGACATACTTGCAGAGACTTGGAAAGGTGGCTTTATACCTCACAACAGTGTAAAAACACCCTAAAAATACAACTGGACACAGGCACTGCATCACACAACACCAGAACAAATGCCCACATGTGAAGATATGCTTTGCAGCATTATCTAAGTTGTAGAAAATTTGATATAACCAAAACTTTGAAATATAGGAGAATGATTAATAAGCCATGGGACATCGATTCACTGGAACAGATAATCATTAAGTGTAATAATGATTAATATTACATGTATTAGGCTGGCACCATGGCTCACTTGGCTAATCCTCAGCCTGCGGCACTGGCACCCTGGGTTCTAGTCCCGGTTGGGGTGCCGGACTCTGTCCCGGTTGCTCCTCTTCCAGTCCAGCTCTCTGCTGTGGCCCAGGAGTGCAGTGGAGGATGGCCCAAGTGCTTGGGCCCTGAACTCACCTGGGAGATGAGGAGAAGCCATCTGGCTTCTGGCTTCGGATCAGCGCAGCGCCAGCTGTAGCGGCCATTTTGGGGGTGAACCAATGGAAAGGAAGACCTTTCTCTCTGTCTCTCTCTCTCTATCTAAATCTGCCTGTCAAAAAAAATTACATGTATTAATACTAAATGTAATAATAAATGTAATACATTCACAAAGAATGTACATTTTAAATGTTTATAACAGAATAAAACAAGGAAAATCCTACGCACCCTTTAATGACTAAGAGTTCATTAAAAAGGCACATACACATCAACTAACACGAACCAAAAACAATGGATTTAAAATAACAGACCTCAGATTTTACTTCTTAAATTTATTTTTATGAAATTGGGAAGCAAAGAGACAGAATTCCCGTCTGCTGGTTCACCTTCTCAAATACCCACAATAGTGGGGGCTGGGTCAAGGCTGAAACAGGGAACACAATCCACATCTCCCACCCAACTATTTGAATACTGACTCCCAGTGTCTCCATCAGCAGGAAACGGGAGTCAGGAGTGGAGTCAGGAATTAAACACGGGCACTCCAATGTGGGACCTGAGAGTTTGAACCAGCATCTGAACAGCTAGACCAGGCTTTTGGATTTCAAACAAGATCTCACAAGGATGGTTCATGATCTTTTTTGCTGCAGGGTCTCCTGTCACCCTGGAGTCCTGCCAATGCACTGCCTCAATCACTTCCCCACATGCCCAGCTGGCCCCACCCCCACACTGCATGGAAATTGATCAAATCTTTACATCTGCCATTAGTTTAGAAGTAACAAGGGGGTGTAGAAACAGACAACACTATAAGGAAATCCCACTGTTCAGAACTCCAACAACAGCACTGCATAACAAATTACTCTAAACCTGGGGACTTACAACAATAATAATGTATTCTCAGGGCCGGCGCTGTGGTGTAGCGGGTTAACGCCCTGGCCTAAAGTGCTGGCATCCCATGTGGGCACCGGTTCCAGACCCAGCTGCTCCACTTCTGATCCACCTCTCTGCTCTGGCCTGGGAAAGCAGTGGACGATGACTCAAGTCCTTGGGCCCTGCAACCTCGTGGGAGACCTGGAAGAAGCTCCTGGCTCCTGGCTTAAAAAAAAAAAAATGCTCTACATACCTTATCAGGAGATAAATCTAGAGGGTGGAACAGTCCATGCAGGATAATTGGCCCAGTTTCTTCAAGTCAATGGAAACAACAACAACAACAACAACAACAAACAAAAACCTGGGAACCACAGGAGGCAAAACTCTAGATCAAAAGAGCCTTCAGAGATACAACAACCAAACAGGGCTTGTGGCTCTGGATCTGAAGACACAAACAATAAAAAGGTACCTTTGAAGCAATTGGGGAAAGAGCTATGTGCTAGGCACCAAACTTTTTTTTCTCGGAGTTTTTCAAAATAATGATGAAAGCATCCTTTGCAGTGTTTAAAGAAGTCGGCTGGGGAGCTCCCAAAAGGAATCAGCTCCAAGTGGAAGCTACCTGGAATGGGGAGAAATGGAGGCAGGGTGCCCATGGCTGTGCAGCACTGCCGAAGCTGGCCCCCTGCCAGTGAACCCTGGTCACCTAGGGCTCCGCCTCACATGGCAGTTCTGGGGACCCTCGCCCATGCCAGTAGGGCATGTTCCGCTGGCTGCTAGCCCGGGTATCCAGGGGGCTGTGCTGCATGCAGACGGAGGAAGGAACAGAGCTTGATGGTGCTCATCAGCTCACAGTCTGCAGGCTGGAGCCACCATCAGAACCCACCTCTAACCCTGTTGGGGTCCCTTGCTGCTTGTGAATTGGCCAGGCCTTTGCCTCAGCCTCTGCTCTCCAGAACAGGCTCCAGGGGCCACCTGTGCGCACAAATGGGTTGCAGGTAAGGAATGCCAGAGCCCCAGAGGCAGAATTCTTCAGCAACAGCAGGTGTGAACAGGAGAGGTGAGGAAGGCCACACCTGGAAGGGGGTTGGGAACAGCAGACTCTGGGAACAGCAAGGCTGAATGGGGGTGTGGATAAGACAGCAGTGGTGGACTCGATCCAGCGGTGCAAGCACCAGAGCTGCCAATCACAGACTGTCCTTGTAAAACACACCCCAGATTTCCAAGCCTTTATGCCAAGAACAAAAACTATGAAGTAGCTGGTTAATAATTTTATACTAATTACATATTAAAATGATGTTAAAGTGGTTCTAATACAAATATTTTGTTAGAATTAATTTTACCTGTTTGATTTTGCTTATTAAATGTGGCTACTAGGGGAGCCGGTGCCATGGCGCAGTAAGTTAATCCTCTGCCTGTGGTGCAGCATCCCATTGGGTGCCGGTTCTAGTCCTGGCTGCTCCTCTTCCAATCCAGCTCTCTGCTGTAGCCTGGGAAAGCAGAAGATGTTCCAAGTGCTTGGGCCCTTGCACCCACGTGGGAGACCTGGAAGAAGCACCTGACTCCTGGCCGTTGCAGCCATTTAGGGAGTGAACCAATGGAAGGAAGACCTTTCTCTCTGTCTCTCCCTCTCACTGTCTGTAACTCTACCTCTCAAATAAATGAATAAAATCTTTTTTTAAAAAATGGGGCTACTGGCCGGCGCTGCGGCTCACTAGGCTAATCCTCCGCCTGTGGAGCCTGCACCCCGGGTTCTAGTCCCGGTTGGGGCGCTGGTTCTGTCCCGGTAGCTCCTCTTCCAGTCCAGCTCTCTGCTGTGGCCCGGGAGTTCAGTGGAGGATGGCTCAAGTGCTTGGGCCCCTGCACCCGCATGGAAGACCAGGAGGAAGCACCTGGCTCCTGGCTTCGGATAGGCGTAGTTCTGGCAAGTAGCGATCATTTGGAGAGTGAACCAATGGAAGGAAGACTTTTCTCTCTGTCTCTCTCACTGTCTAACTCTGCCTGTCAAAAAAGAAAGAAAGAAAGAAAGAAAGAAAGAAAGAAAGAAAGAAAGAAAGAAAGAAAGAAAGAAAGAAAGAAAGGAAGAAAGGAAGGAAGAAAGGAAGAAAGGAAGAAAGGAAGAAAGGAAGAAAGGAAGAAAGGAAGAAAGGAAGAAAGGAAGAAAGGAAGAAAGGAAGAGAGAGAGAAAGAGAGAGAGAGAGAAAGAAAGAAAGAAAGAGAGAAAGAGAAAGAAAGAGAGAGAGAGAAAGAGAGAGAGGGAGAGAAAGAGAGAGAGAGAAAGAGAGAAAGAGAGAAAGAGAGAAAGAGAGAAAGAGAGAAAGAAAGAAAGAAAGAAAGAAAGAAAGAAAGAAAGAAAGAAAGAAAGAAAGAAAGAAAAGAAGGTATTGTATCTATATGATGAATGTGGAAACTGAAACCTAAAGGGATACACCTAATTTCTTAGGCTTTGGATTTCCTGGCTTTGGATCGGCACAGTGCGCCGGCAGTAGCGGCCATTTGGGGGGTGAACCAATGGAAGGAAGACCTTTCTCTCTCTCTCTCTCTCTCTCTCTAACTCTGCCTGTCCAAAAAAAAAAAAATATATATATATATATATATATATATGGCTACTAGGAACTGAAAAAATACATAGCCTATGCTGTCCTATTTGTACTGGAGGGTGGTGGCGGGACAAAAGGATAGGATGCAGCTGGCTAGCACTGACTGCAGACCTGTGGTTCACTCAGACCCTCTGGGCCTGCTCAGCTGTTACTGTGACTCTTCCAAGTCATGCAAGGTGAGAACGCCCTCACATTCAGGCAGCTCAGACTGAGAGGCAGGATCATGCTTTGGGTGACACACTCTGGGAGATGACACTGACAATGCAGAAGCTGCTTCTGACAAGATTTAATTGTATAGACAAGTGTAAGTTTCTGCATTTAGCAAACCCCAGGCTGTTCAACACGTCGTGGGTAACATGTGGCACCCAGAGGCAAAAACAAAACAAAACAAAACAAAAAAACTCCAGGGGCTCTCATCCTGCAAGGGGACACCGTTTGGAATCCAGAACCCAGTTGCTTTGGAAGTAACTGAAATATAGGATTTAAAATTAATGCACTCATTTAACAAATAGTCACAGAGAACTCTGGAGTGACTGAGCCCTGCCACTGAAAATAAACAAAAGAGCAGTAACTGCAAGCCATGTGTAAATAAAGCTGGGAGTATACGGTGAAGATGTGGAGTTAGAGGCATTTGTTGGAGGGCAGGACTGCTAGGGCCTGTACAGGGACAAACTGGGCATGTGTCTGGACACAGAGAGTGGTCAAAGACTGGAGGGAGGAGTGGGTGTTTGGCCTAGTGGTTAGAACACTGTTCAAGATGCCTGAATCCCACATCAGAGGGCTGGGTTCAAGTCCTGGCTCTGCTCCTGACTCCGGCTTCCTGCTAATGAAGCCCCTGGGAGGCAGGGGTGATGGCTCAAGTAATTGTGTTTCTTCCCTCCATGTGGAGAGTCCTGGTCTCAGCCTGACCCAGCCCAGGTCATTATCGGCATTTGGGAAGTGAACCAATGGACAGGAACATGTGCTTCTCTCTTTTCTCTATCTCAAACAAAATAAAATTTTAAAAATACAGGAGCCCTGATTAAAAAAAAAAAATCAAGGCTAGGCTTCCCAGAACCTTCTAGAATACACTGCAGGATCCTCAGAGTTACATGTGCTATGGGGCATTTGAGTGCGAGTAGGATGTGGTTCATGTTCTAAAGAAACCAGCCTGTCTGGTGAGAGGTGAAGGCAGCTGGGACCAGACAGGAATGGCTGAGAGAGATGGAAGGGGTTGGACAGATGGCCGAACGGCGAACGTGTTCCTGTTCCTGTGCCACTGAGGCAGGGGAGATCTGTCAGAATTGTGCGTGGCTGGAGGGCATGTGTGTGTGTGCACCTGGCACCTGTGATTTGGGTGGGTGTTCATCAGTGGACAAACGGCCATCGGCCATCTCTGAACTTCAGAAGATTGCTTTTTTTCCTCAGGCCAAGTTATTCATCTTTTTTTCTCAACTTATTCATTTTTTTAAAAAGTAGAACAGGGATTGCCAGGTAGTATCACTGTATAAAAGTTCTTGATATTATGTATAGATGTTTTGTTAAAAAAAGGTGCTTTCCCTTATTTGGAACAGGAAATATTACCCAAGCAGTTCAGGGCTGCAGAAAGCACATCTTGGCAAGCCATGGCATTATTCTAAGAAGGCAGAGCCTAGAGCTGCCTGATCAA